TTTACTGTGTCATCCTTAAGAGTGCAATATTTTGCAAGAATAGCACTTATTTATACCATTAAAAAATCACCAATTTACATATTAAAGAATTCACACCATCTGCTGACAACATTTTCATCAGGTCCATCATCCATATTTAGTATCTTAAATTTACTTTTTTATATTTGATTATCTGAATAAATTCACGTATATTCATACTAATAAATTTTGATGTTGTACTAAAATAACAGTTTTTTTCCATTGAATTATGTAATTAGTTTCATTAATATGTTTGCTAAAGGTGAAATATTATTGTTTTTAACAATTCTTTTGTGATCATTCATTCTGAATTTGAAATTTCTTCTTGTTTGTCCTATATAAACTTTTTCACATTCACATGATATTTTATATATACCAAATTTTTCCATTAAATCAATTTTATCTTTAGTTATATTAAGAATTTGGCTAACTTTGTTTATTGGTTTATATATCAGAAAAATATTTATTTGTTTACTAAATTGTTTCATTACTTGAGAAGACAAACCAGGTATAAATGACATTATTTTCTACTTTTTTCAGCAAGTGGTTGTAACTTGATATTTTTATCCCTGTTTTTTAGTTTTGTAACAGCTGTGTCAACAATATTAGGATTGAAACCTCTTTCTACTGCTATATACTTAATAATAACTCATTATTAATATCATTCTGTTTACAACATAATTTTAGTATCTTATCCACATAAGAGTAAAATAAGTTTTCTGAGATTTAGTGTGACAAGATTTTTGATGTGGTGGAATGATTAGAGAGAGAGAGGTTTTTGATAAATATTAATTTCCAATTTATCCTTATTTTTACTAAAACATACAAGAAAGGTAAACTGCTATTTGTCTTAACTCCATAAGTAAATCTGATAGAATTGTCAATCCTATTAAGGTAATTAGCAAAAAGAGCCAATTCCTCTTTACCATGCTGCCATATCAAAAATGTGTCATCAACATACCTTAACCAGACTTCGGTTTTTTTTATATGGTTTTTGTAATGCTTCACTTTCAAAACTGTCCATAAATAAATCACACAATAATGGAGATAAAGGAGAACCCATAGCTAAACCCTTGTTCTGTTTATATACTTTACTGTTAATTTGAAGAAAAAAAAACGTTTTAAACACGTACTTCTACCATGTTAATCATATCTGTTATTTCTAAGACTGAATTATTATTTTCTTTTAATTTTTTCTCAAAACATGCAATAGCTTTTTTCACAGGTACTTTGGTGAACATTGACACAACATCAAAAGACACAAAGATATTTTTATGATTTAAAATGATATGCTCAATTCTTTCCAATGATTAAAATAAATTCTTAACTGAGAATTTTTCGATATAAATTTTGCTACATTGTAAACTCTTAGTATTAGATACAATAGATCTAAAATTGTTCTAAAATCTTATGAACCTTAGGCAAGGCATATAGTCTAGGTAAAATAAAGTTACTTGGAATTAAACTTTGAGGTTTATTTATATGATTAACTTTTATATTCTCATACAGACATTCTTTCAACATTTCTTCAACTTTAGAATTGTTTATTTTTTATTAATAATTACAGATGTCCTTTTTTATCATCCACATCTTGATCATGTAAACTCCTCAAACTTTCAAAATCCTTTTTGTTATTATTTATGGGTTTAAAATTAATTAATAAAATACAACACTAACTTCTAACAATATGCACTTTTTCAACATTTCAGTTTTTCAAGTTAATTTCAATTTCAGTTATGTTGTCTTTTTTGTAACTTTTTTTAGACCACATGAGAAATTTAAACCTCTGTTTAAATCATCTAGCTGTTTATCATTTAGTATTAAATCCGATTTATTTATGACTTTAGGGTTATTTAAAAAATAAATTATACTTTTCTGGTAATGGATCTGGTTTATAATGTTCTTCATTCACTTCTTTTTTCTTGACAAATAAAGTTTTTAATTTTCTGTCCATTACACAACTACCAATGAATCTTAATAGTTAATATTATGTTTGTTAACATGAAAATGCTGTTGTTTTTTTATTTATTGCATATTTCTTCTGTTTCTGCCTATTGAATGAAAGAGAATTGGCTCTTGATTAAACTGGTTTGAGAAAATGGTGAAACAAAGTATTAGTGTAACATCTTTCCTCGAACAATTACACCTTCATAAGAAATATGTTTCTTTTGTATACATTGATTTGTTTGAACATAGAACTTGTATATAGGAATACTAAAGTTCATTACAGCAGTAAGCTTAGTGTTTCTTTTGCTACACTTATGTATTGCTACAAAGCTGCTAAAAAATGAGAATACAAGTTTCAGTATAGAAGTTATATGAGGATGTATAATTTTTTAGGAAAAGAAAAAAAAATTGAGTTTTAGATCTCTTCCTGCTCATGGTGTTTGGGTGAACAAAGAAATTCACCAGAAGTGTGAGTAGATTTTATTTATTTTATAAAAATAACAGTTTTTTTTTTACATTTAGATAACCAGACAGGTATACAATATGATGCTTTGGTTTTTCAGGCACTTAGAATGTAGGCACTCTTTGAAATCATGCATTCCCTTATTTCAGGGGTGGTGAACCTTTTGGGCAAATTTTAGGATCCAAATTTTGAGTAAGGTGCCACTAGCCATATAAGCAGTCCGAACCAAAGTCCCTGGAATGGGGAGGGGCACCTCTTCCTTGTGTAGTTTACCCTCACACTGTTACATTTCTTTGTCCTTCTCTCTCTTTTTGAAGTTGACTGCTATGGAAGGAAAAAACTTGGCAATTTAGTTTTTAACTGATGAATGATTGGGGAAAAATGTATTCTTCATTCAACTGTAAATTTTTTGTTATATGTTATAAATAATCATCATATACTAAAGGGAAAATAACTATGTGTGATATGTCACCAAGTCTTGTCAAAAGCCTAGAAAAATTGCTTAAAAGTTAACTTAAATAACTGTTCTTTGATCAGTGATTAGTTAAGCGTAATGTTGAAAGCATATATACTTTGAAATGATTAATTTGATATGTATTTCTGCAATTATTTTTCTCACACCAACTAAAATGCTTTAAAATTAAGGATTTTGATAATAACTTATCTTATGATAACCTAATTTATGTGAGCTAGAATGGTGAGATCCTGAAGATTATGGGATTGATTTCTCAGCCAATCTCTTGTGATTCTTGTCAGTTTGTTTTAATTAGTCAAAGTCTTTGTTTTATTTCCTCTAACTTTTCAGCATAATCTTGTCACTACCTAATTCTTGTCATACTGGCTGATTAATTCTGACTTTTAAATTTGTTAATTTGTTAATTTATGTTATTTTTCATTAACTGAATTTTACAAGATTAGAATGGCTTAGTTTTGATTATCAAGTTTAAATTTTCTGTGTAGAAAATTTTAGCACTATGACAGAATAAATTATCGTTTATTTATTCAGTTGCAAAAAACAAGAGTAATGATTCTTTATGTACTTGAGCTGAGGTGTTAAAAAATCAAGCAGCTTTTTTGTGTTGTGAATGATTGATTAGTCTTTATATGCATGTCATCCAAATTAACTTAGCAGAAGTTATGACATCTACTATGAGTACAAGAGTTTTTAAATTAAATATCATAAAGAACGAATTTCTAAGTTATTATTTACAATTGGATTTTTGAAGATAAAAATAGCAAGCAAGACATTTCATTCTACCTTACATGAAAGAATAGCACTTCTGTTTAGTGCATATTTAAATTAAGCTAAACATTGTATTGTATCTTTATCTATATATATTGTGTACATGACATATGTGTTACAGAAGCAATTCAAAATGATACTGAACCTCAGTATACTTAGGTATTTATGTGTGACAAACTAGTAACGTTTGAATACTTACATTTTTTAAGATTCATCTTCATTTTTGTATCTCTTTCCTCTAGATAGTATTAACTTATTCAAATCATCATCTGATTCCTGCTAGACTGGGGTTTGTTCTACTCATTCATCAAGATATTCCAGCTGTGGTAGGAATATTTCTATCTATGATCTTAAGGTTATTTGTTTCTTTTCTCACAACTGTGCCATTATTTGTTGGTTGTGATTAACCTTAAATGAGTCAGTAATGGATGAGGACAGAAATCATGTAAGATAGGTATGAAATAATTTTTTTTTTGGCCCCTGGTGGGACAGCGGTAAGTCTTCGGATTTACAATGCTAAAATCAGGGGTTTGATTCCCCTCAGTAGACACAACAGATGGTCTGATGTGGCTTTGCCATAAGAAAACACACATACACATTTTTTGTTTTTGTTCTCTCTTCTTACTGTTTAGTTCTAACAATGGATCTGTTATGGTAGGGCTTGCTTAGGATATATGCTTTGGCAACATGTTATGGTAAACCCTATTAGTTTGTTTCAAATCATAAAAAAGTAAAAACCGACATATTTGTTTATCACATAAGGTAGCAGCATTATGTCTCTAATTAGAAAAATCTCAGTATTAGTTTCCATCCCAAGAAATTAAGAAGTACAACGATGTATCATAAAATATGTTTGTTACATTCATCTAATGCAATAGTAAAAAACAGTACCTGATATAAAGTGAAATTGTTAACTTTCTACATAAAATATCAAAATGTTTTGTGTGTTCATTTTCTTTGATATTAGTTATTTGTGGTAAAATATTTCATCAACTTAAATTGATTTTTGTAAATACTTGCTAGAAGTTTTAATGTTTCAGGAGGAGGTTCTTGCTACATTATTGTTAGAATAATCTCTGATATTTACAGCTTGCAAAAGTGAAAAGAGTTGGGCAATATGACTGTTGAGTGTTTTTAGATAGATTTTGATATGAATAAGAAAATAAAAAGTTATCCTCTGGAGTTAGGAAGTTTTTCAAAATACAGATCACTTTCTTTGAAGTGAATTTCACAAACTATTAAGTATTTTAAATAATTCCCATTCGTTTCAATTATGAATTCAGTATTTAAAACCTTTGATAAAATATACTGTCATGTTTTAAATTAATTCCAAAGTTCTTAAGAAATTCTTGATAATGCATATGTATTAGGAAAACTTTTATGTATTGTTTTTAATTTTATATGTAACTCCAAATAACAGTATGAGCAGTATAATTAATACAAATTTTATAGACTATAATTAATTTCCTAGATAAATAAATAACAAGAACAAATTCTATAAAAACAATACAGCTTTATAACAGAAATTTCAGAGACACTATTTCTAGTAGTCATGTACATATTTCATTATAAAGGAAAGCATTATTAATTTACTTTTTCATAATGGTTGTATGTTGTATTGTGATTTTATATGAAGCCTTGTCTCATACAGATGGAATTACTGCAATTAATCTATCGGCCTTATTACTTCTATGTTATTCATGTAGATGTCAGAGCAACAAATGTTAGAGAGGTAAGAAAATTAAGATTCAGTTTCAAAATACTTTATACTCTGAAGTGTAAAAGCACTTACATAGCATTTAATGTTTAATAGATATTTTTTACTTACTATATTGAAGGTGGGGGAGTTATTGGTTATAATCTTATTCCAAGAATGTCAGTGTTGAAAGAAGACAAATAACGTTTTGATATTTGAACATAGAATAGTATAATATGTCTAAAGTCAGTTTAAAGGAATAGATATTTCTAAGTATTTTTAATTATCTAGTTTTTTATATTTAAATCAGGAGCTTGAAACAAAGATTAATATGCTGGCACTCCAATCTAACAATATTCGGGTTCTTCCGAAAGATCGATCCTTTTTAACATCTTGGGCTTCCTATGATATAGTACGTGCACAGCTAGAGGTATGTAGAGTTAAACATCTTCCTTATATCTAGCATATCTTTTCATAAACCAAGATCATGATGATGTAAGATTAGCAAGTTTAACAGCATGTTAAGTGACCTGTTTATTGGTTGAATTACTCAATCTCATTAATTTATTTAAAATCAAATGACTTAATTATTCAAGCAATATTTTATCTTTAATATGAGAAAAAAAAGAGTGTAAAACACCTATCAGTAAATGTGTTGATTGATAACTTCTGACCTTTGAATATTGCCTTAAGTGTATTAAAAAATGTTAAATTTCCTTTTTTTTAAACACTCAGATTCCATTAGAGCTAACCACAAAAGATGAGCTTACCACATTACATGGAAGTAGTTAGTTGTTAATTAGATTGGCCAGATTTTAACCACAATTTTTATATTATATATATATATAACTTTTACATTACATTAGGAGCATTTTACAGATTTTCATAAGCTTCAAAATATAGTATTTCATATTAAAAGTTGAGATGTACTTAAAATGTTTTTAAGATTTATTACAATACACATTTTTGTCTTCCATAATTGTTTTTTGTGCCAATTTATGTAAATATTAGCAAAGCCAATATTGAGTCATTTAAATTTTTCTTCATTATTGACTCTGGTGGCAAAAGAATATCTACTTAAATTTTTCGTTGTGTTATTTAACTATTTAGGTATTTAACATTGTTTGCCAAGTTAGTTTTAATTTATGGTAAATATATCTACTTAGTGCTCCAGACAAGATGCATATCCTCCTAAATATGCATTTTTCTACAAAGAAAATATATCAGATATGCATAGTATTCACTGGTATGTAAGTCATTCACATATACATGCATATGTGCCAATTTGGGGAAAGAACAGTTTTGGTAATAAAACAAACAGAAAAAGCATGGGAGATCACTCTCACCATAAACTGATTGATGAGTTGCACACTGATTACCCGTAGTTTAATTGGGGTTATTGTTGAACTGAAAATTATATATACCAGTCTAATATAACCAATTCTCCTCAATGCTTACTGTATTGAAATTGTGTTTTACTTGCCTCAGTAAGTCCTTAATAGGAATAAGATATAAGAAAAAGAGCAGCCATCTAGTAAACACAGCAAAACAACACATGTTAAGAGTTGGATAACGAAAAGTCACTGAAACCCAAAAATACACAAGTTCAGAGGCATTGCTAGGTACTTAAAAGATTTGAGGTTCAGGCCCATAGGCACAGGAATTTTTTATGTTTCAATATGATATTGATCATGGTTTTATATTCTTTTTGAAGATGCCAACTAGTGATTTGGGCACTGTCAAATAGAAACAGACAAGAGCCCCATGTGCCAGTGCCTAGCAATGCTTCTGCACAAGTTTTCACCATTGAGTTTAATTTTCAATACTGCAGTTTATTTCAAGAAATAAAATACTCACAATGTCAAAATTTTATCTGGATCACTGACTATTTTTGTAGTTTGCTTTGTGTTGCAGCATTAAGGTTGTTCTTGTTAGCTTTTGTAAAACATTTTTTCTATACATATAAAAGCAAATAAAATTTATAAATTGTAATCTATTTGAGAATTTTCTTTTTTGTTTTGGTACATGGGGACAAAACTTATTTTTTACAAGAATATTTGCTATATCATACATATTGGAACATACTTGTTTTTGAAGAATCTTGTCAAACAACCAAGTGAAAATTACATCTACTTTGGTAAGAGGTATGCAGTGAAATAAATGTAAATGTATGTGTTAAAAAAAGTGTAAAATAACATGACAACATTGTGATTTGAAAATGTAATTGAAATCATGTGCTTAAGAAGTGTTATATATTGAACAGATGTCACCTCTGAAGTCTACTGTATCAGCCAACTGACTCAGCAGTTCAAAAACTTGAGAAGTAGATACATATTAACACTGCTGTTATCTCATTTGTGTTGTAATAATATGGTCTGAGCTGACTATATGTACATGCTAAACCAGTGTGAATTTGCTGAAAGCAGATAGTTTACAAATGTTTAATGTTTTTCTTTTTGCTACATGTATGTATAAAAAAATATATTTTATCACAGAACTAAGTTTACAAGAGACACAAGTACAACCAATTTTAGACTTTTAGGCATGCTGACCAAACTAATTTGTAGGAATTGGAGTTAAAAGGGTACAAAGTTAGGACTGCCAAATACCATATCTATTACATAATATAAATTGCATTCATTTAAAGTTTCTGTTGCATAATGTCAGGTTTTATGTATGGGCTGGATTTTTTAGTGTCTGAGACTTGTTGATAATAACTCTCAACAATAAAGAAACAGCACACAATTCACTTGTTTTAAAATAACATATTAAAAGAAGTGAAACATACATATAAAGGTTCTTTATACTGTTGGTTACCACAGTTGTATTCAGAGCTTTAAATAATTGTCTCGTTTAATTAAAGCCCACACAGGTTGGTTCAGTTACTTTAGAACAAAGTTGATAAGATGAATTATTTCTTCTCTACTCTGTTATTACAATACAATCTGTGATAATTCACTTTAGAAATAACCACTTTACACTCTTTATGGCTAAACTCAAAGTCACACAGTTTAGGGTTAGCTATCTATATAACTAACTTTTTCTAACTTAACTTGAACTACAACGTATTTATAGCCTGACTGAGGCCTAGAACTTTTTACACACTACAAGATATTATGATGCAACAATACTCAAATAAAGCAATGAGGAAAATTCAGAAATTTTGAGTAACATAACATCAGTTCACAACAATTGAACTACACAACAAATGATTTGTAAAACAGTTACACAAACAAACTTGGCATAACTATCACTTCTAAAAATAACTTAACTTTGATACATGCATTATATAAATTATCTAATTCATAATGCTAACATGAAACGTAAAATAAAACTGTCATGTATATCTAGCACATAATATCAGCACTGTTATGGTGACACAGTAAATTTTAGAACACTAGTAAATATTCTTTATCTTAAACACTACCTGTAATTATTTCAGAATTGGATGAAGTTGTTCTTTTAAGTATATTGTTTTACACTATGACCTCATAGTGGCTCTAATATACTTGCAAATTAACTGCAAGCTGCAACCTTGATAGTTTGTTTTGTTGAATTTCATGAAGCTTCTCAAGGGCTATCTGTACTAGCCATCTCTAATTTGGAAGTAACAAACTAAAGAAAGTGTAGCTAGTCAACATCAACCAACACCAACTCTTGTATTACATTTTACCAATGAATAATGGGATTGACCTGTGCATTATTATGATTTCACAGCTGAAAAGGCAAGCAAGTTCAGTGATTAGCTTCTACCCCACAACTTGCATATTGCAAGTAAATGCCCTTATCACCAGGCCATTCCAGGTGAGCTGCAACCTCCAGTCTGTGATGTGCAGGCTAATATAAAAGTAGTCTGAGGTATAGAATTTGAACTACAAATTGTTTGAATTTTTATGAATCATGACACAGGAAATGTGATGAAAAAGATCATGTTTGGTCTTCAAGGTTGTGTGATTTTGATTGAAACTTACCAAACATTACCTATGTTATTGACCTTTAATTTTAACAATTTCTATTTCATCATCTTAATTTCATACACTTTCCCTCAGTAATACATCAAACACAAACTGAGGAAACCAATTAAAAGAAAATACACTAGTTAAACAAAAAAAGGTAATTACAGTGCCATTATTTCTTCTGTTTAAGATGTGTGTTTGAAAACTTATTTACTACTATTTGCATACAGTAAGGGTAAAAAAAAAAATCAATGAAAGTAAAAAGTAAAGAATCTTCCTGAAATTATGAAATACACATTTCATTTCTGCTAAAATAAATTTAACTAAGTTATACATTTACCAGTTTCAAACTACAGAAAAGCGTAAACGATATTTTTTCTTGAATAGAAGTATACTGTTTCTATCTAGAATGTCATACAAGTCAGTTGATTGCTGTACAATAGGTCTAGGATCTAGTGGCTAGTTGATTACTGTAGAATAGGTCTAGCAGTTGTTTAATATAAAATAGATCTAGTGGTTATGGTGGTCTAGATGTTTATTAATATAGAATAGGCTAGGCATGGTTATTGTGCATGAAATGTTATTCTGAGGATTCTGTGTGCTCAACCCATTGCCATAAAAACAAGTTCCATTCTTTGTAGCATGAGAATGAGATGGCCAAATCCCACTATCAGAATAGAATAGTACAAGAGTTGGTGGTGAGTACTATTGTCTTTCCTCTAGTTTGTTACTTCAAAATTAGAAACAGCTATGAGCAGGTAGCTGTTATATAGTTTTGCACACAGTTTTGAAACAAAACAAGTAATTAATGTGGAAATGAAGTCTTTTGGATGTATTTTTGCAGGGATTTGAAGAGTTACTGAGAATGGGAACTTGGGATTTTGCTATCAATCTCAGTGGGGCAGATTTGCCACTCAGAGATGTTGATGATTTGGCTGCAGCACTAGCACAATACAGAGGTAGTGAAGCTGCTACGATTTCTATTTCTAAATTAATGTTAATTCAGTCAAACATTTAAAGGAAGCAGATCTTCCAAACGTAAATGTGGTAAAGTTCTATTTCAAGATTTTGAAAGAATGGTAAACTACTTTGTTTTATATAGATTGAATTTCTTTAAAAGCAGTAGTAGTACACTTCAAATAAACATTGGGACATTAGTTTTTGTTTTATATTAATATGTCTTTTTTTTTCAGAAGAGTGGTAGATGAATTGTATATTAGTAATATTTCTTTAAAAACAGTGATAAACTATTTTATTTTTATATTTCTTTAAACTCAATGGTTAACTCATTTGTTTGATATATATATATTATATCTTAAGACAATAATTATTAGTGTGTCTTACATTTACTGTTTTTAATAAATAATTTTATAATGGCATTATTTCTTTTTTAAAACAATGATACTTGTGTACATTTATGTTTGTTTTAACAATTTGTCTTTAACAGCAGTGGAGGACAGTTTATTCTTTTTCAAACAAAGAGTACTTTAAACTGATTTGAGAAAAGTGGTGCTCTATTTTTATTTTTTCAGAAATACTGGTATGCTGACTTGTGATAAATTAATAATTTGCCTTTATAAACTGGTATACTATACACACAAGAGTGCTGTACTTTATTTTAAAATGGTAGTGTAGTGGATATTTCATTACTACAAGATTTTTCTCTGAGTTCTAGTCTGAAATCATTTAAATCTGGTTGAGTTCATGTGCCAAATTCAACCAAAGGTATTCTGTAGCCTGTCTTGTCAAGGAACCTATCTGCTGTTTCACGAGAAATTTGTATTGTATCCTACTTTAACTTGTGTGCGAATATCCACATTCTGGTGTCTTCTTCGTTATTGGTTAGCTGTAGAAAGAAAGTGCTCTGTGCATGCAGTTTTGGCAGTCTCAGACAGATTCTTTTGTTTTCTGTCTTTAAGAAGAGGAGTTTTTCCTAACTTGGAAGAGCCAAGACTTGCTTGTGATGTTCCATCTGTACTTCAAGCTTTATAATAGTTACTTCTACTGATTGTGCCCACTTTATTATACTTATGTTTATTTCCCAACTGAATTTGTTTTAGTTTTCTGTATTTAAGTACAATGTAACTTCTTCATTTACCACTGCATCTTAGCTTATCATTCTCAATAGTTCTACTGCTTTGAAAATCAGTTTCCTATTGTCAACTTGTAATAAGAAAATAAAGTGTAATGCTTTTATTCAGACTTTATCACCATGTCTTATATCTATAAATCCAACTGCAACAAATTACTGCACTAAACTTTCCATATACTGAATTCTTGAAATTTTAGATTTTGCAGTGATCCTTGAATTACCATAATAATCTACAGAAAAAAAATCACTTCAGCAAACCTGCTATCCTTTAGCAAATGTTCTTTTATTATCAAATCATTTGATATCTTTCAAATCATAAGTAGTCCAAAATATTTGTATCTTGTTCAGAATATTGTAGAAAAAAAAGGCATGAAACTTTGTAGTATTTTAACATAGTTGCTAATAGAACCACATGGTTTAATGGAGAAACCTTGTTCTTTAGGCCTGACCTTCTTCCCATTCTATTCCTGGAGAAACCAAAACACCAACAACAACACGAAACCACTTCTGGAAAGTGCTTTGTGAGTAAAAATAAATTTTGTGCATAAGAAAATAAACAGAAAAATGTTAAAAGTAAAGAACAAATGTAGGTTCTTAACCTCACAATATCCCACATTCAAAACTGCTACTCATTCTCTGTATTCTGTTGTGGAAAAATGATTATTCTTAATGAAACAATAAGATAAAAACAGAGTAACTGGTTGTGTTATTGTCATGTGCATTTGTTTATAGCTAATGTTGTGATGTTGTTCTTTTATTGTTGATTTATTTAAAGTTATCTATTAAGAATAATTTAAAGTCTAGTGTACGTAAACTATAAAAAATGAATTTATTTCCTCCTTTAATGTCTTTAAAAGCATAAACACTTGTACACTATTCTAAACTGTTGTAGGTCTGCATTACAATTAGCACTAATATAAAACAAATTAACCTACTCAATAAGCATGATAGCAAACAAAGATCTAAATATTTCAGAAAAACAATAATTGATTCAACTTTCTATCTTTGAAAAAACTTTACACTTCATAACTATCTTAAATATACTAGAAAAAACTTTATGTCACATTCTTAAAACAATCTAGATTTTATAGGTCTATGTTATTAAATGTAATCATTAAGGTAGCATATTCCCTTGATATAATGTTATCTAGGTTTTTGCTTTTTTATCAGAAAAAACTTCTTCATACTATTCTTTTTGTATGAAAATGTATTCTGGAACATGTTGTGTAACATTACCACTGTGGCTAATTTGCATATTATAAAAATAAAGAAATACAAAAGAAATATCCTATATTCTTGATCACTTATACAAATATGACTGAATACACCTGAAAATGGGTCCAGACTTTGATGGGATGTGAAGAATTAGTCTGGAATAACGAAAACTGAAAATTAATTCAAGGGCAGATTATGGCACTAATGTGTATGCCCCAAGTAGGACATATGCTACAGTGAATTGTTAATTGTCATTTAATAAAAACCAAACCTCTTATCACTTTACTTTAGTCACTTGTTATCCTTAAATTATATGCATGTATGTATAATATAGTTTTTTTTGGTTGTGACTACAGAAAGAATAATGTATGAGTGTCTTTGAAAAAATGTTTAGGTGAACATTTAGTGTTCTAATAGATATGTGAAAAACTTACTCGTGTATTTTTTGTCTTATCTGTATACATATATAAAAAAGTGAGTAGATTTTGTATCCTTTGAGTTTTGCAATTAATATATTGTTACTTGTGTAATGGTTAAGTTCAGTTTTGAAATCTTTTATGTATTTTAATAAGTTTTTCAATGCATTGTCATCTTCTTTTCAAGTCTAAGAAAACATATTTATTTCTATATTTTAATAGTTACTTATCTGAGAAATAACACACTTCAAGCTTTTGGTAATATTTATTATTTTTATGTTTTGTCTTCAAAAAATGGAAGCTCTTTTAGTTTTTGTTGGTGTGTTTCTGGAAGTTAAATCTTTGTGCTTTGTTTCTTAAAACTAATTAGCTTTCCTAAACTGTGTAACTGGTGAAAAGTTTTGTTTTTGGTAGCACTTAATTCATTTAATTTTTTTTTCTAATAAGTATTTCAGCTATTTTTTGTGTTGTTTCTGGTAGATAAGTCTTTGTAGTTTTTTTAGTTTGTTTTTGAAAAGTACCTGCTGTTAGACTTTGTGGTGTTATTTGTTGTTAATTCTGTTTTTTGTTTCTTTCAGGCATGCTTGTGAGGGATATGTTTACAATGTCTCTTATATGGCTGGAGAACCACTCAGTGAGAATCTGCTGGTTTTTTCTTCTTCTCAATGGGGTGTATTTAGCAGGTATTCTTACCAGACAAATATTTTCTGTTATTTCATGAAAAATACATTTCTAAAAATAAATTAGTTGACTTGTAGTTAAGGTTTTATGCTACTCGGTGTTAATCTGATTGAAATTGTGTTGAATTACAGTTTACTTCACACTAGCCTTATATAATGCAGCAAAATAAAAGATTTGGTTGATTTGTTATTTGACTTATTTGAAAGGTGAGTTCAAATATAGGTGTACGTGTATGTTTTCTTACATTGTATTTCTGTATGAGTGCAAAATCCTGGCCAACTCTGATGTTGTAAAAGCAAAAACTGCTGCTGAAATTTTAGTCATTGTGTAGAACTAATAAACTCTCGGTTAATTTTCAATGCATAACCTTCTTGGATTGCTTAAAAAAATTTATTTTGACAGTATTTTCCATTAGCCATTTAAGAAAAACTAGTATGTTTATGGAAGAGTTATGTCATTAGAAATTTTAAAGCTGCAAATGTGGAAAACTTTTGTTAAATATTCAACTTAGTCTCAAAATGAGTCAAGCTTTGACTTTCATTTCATACATTGCATTTATATGATAGTTACTATAGTTCATTTGGTACTTTAAAACGTGTACTATAACAAAGAAAAGCATAAAATATGTTCAAACTCAAAATTTAATTTTTTGATTAGAAATTTAAATACTACATAAGAGAACAAAATGATTATTTGATACAGTAGTATTAGAAGCATTGATTTTTGATATGGTATATTACCTCCTCTCACATGTATAGCTATTCTCGTTGAGTGCTGCCCTCTATATGCAAAATTTTTTTCACAAACCACAAGCCTTGAACTCCTACGAACATGTAATTCATTGTGTGGCAACCCTCTGCCAATAGGAGTACAATGCACCTTTCTGATGCATGTGACTCCTTCTATTTGATTCTACCAAACTATCACTTCTCATTAGGCAGTGATCTAGTGCAGATGTTTTTTTCAATTTTGCTCTCTTCACGTGTTTTATTTAAATTGTTTGTGAAGTATTGATTTTATTTAATTATTTTGCTACAATTTGTTTTCTGTAGTCTTGATGCAATAACTTACCTTTGTTTGTTTATATATTTTTTAATTCTTCACTGTTTATGATGAAGTCACCACTTCTAGCACAATTAAGCAAGTTTAAGGTTGGAGGACCTCAACTGAGGAAGTTTTGGCTATAATTCGTTGGGAGGTTGATCGTTAAATGGGTTGATTGACTTCTTCATGAATCTACTGAACCTGCTATATCCTTTCCGTTACCTCGGAATCCTACTACCAGTCAGTGTCTATCTCACAGAGAGCTATCAAGCCTGCTAACCAGTCTTCCCCAGGTTTTTACTCCAGGCTTTTTGTAGTCCCCAAGAAAATCAGAGACTGGTGTCCTGTGATCGATCTCTCCTGCCTTAATCACTATTTTAATCTTCTCCATTTTACCATGGAGTCCTTTCTCACACTCAGGTGAGCATTTTCTCCAGGATTGTGGACTACCAAGGTAAACTTCTTGAATGCTTATCTCCATATTCCTGTTTCTCATCAGTCCAGACACTATCTTTGGTTTTTCCACCATGGAGTTGTGTATCAGTTTCACACCTTGCCTTTCAGGCTTGCTTTGGCTCCATATATCTTTTGTCAGGCAATCAAAGTCTTTGCCTGACTTCTGCAAGCTCGGGGGTTGTATTTACACTACTACATGGATGACTGGCTTCTGTTAGCTCATTCCAAAATGAAATCTTCACAGCACATTCATCCCAGCAGGCACATGATGTCACTATGACATTGTCACAATGTCATAATTAGGTTGCAACATTATACAACCACCATGTGACCAATAGGCAACATCAAATTTCAGACATCAGCTTGACCTTCTAGTTTCAATGTCATATTGATGTCAGGATATGATTGTGAACACAATTTACCCAGGATTCAAACCTCAATACCAATAAATAAAGTACTTTTCCCAGAAAATGTAGATTTTGAATTGAAATATGACAATCAGATTAGATAATTTATCCTAGAAATATAAACCTTGTCATCACATTATGACAACCTCTTACAATTGAGTCATGATGTCCAATTTTGTTTCATATATAATTAACATTCTTCTACATTGGTGTGCTTTTTTCAGCGAAATACTGTACAAAGTTTGTTGAAACTTTTATTATAAAAATTAATTTTAAAAATATTCGTTTTTGTTTCTGTGTGAATTCTTGACTCAAATGCTCAATATTAATTAAATGTTTATTTGTAAATGTTTGAAAGTTGTAAATATTTTTTCGGGTCTACTGTGCAAGTGACTGCACATGCTGATGTTTGAACAGGATCATGACTGTGCATGTGAATCATTTCAATGTAAGTATAAAATTAATTGAAATCATAAGATAAAAGAATAACTAAAACAAACACCAATTAAAAGTGGTTGTACTTTGCTTTCAAAAAGGCAGACATAACATTTGCTTCAACTAATGCATGATAGTGTTCAAAATAAATTAAGTTTTAGACAACCCACTTTTAAAACTAATTTCAATCATCAGTGCATGGTGGTCTTTTTGAATGCTAGGTTGTGATCCTGACTGATTTCTGGATAGTTCATTTGGGTTTCATGAAAAGAATAATTTGATTAAAATGTATTAGAAATTCTGTCCATTGTTCTCTAAGTCCCCATGTTATTATAATATGACACAATAGCAGACTTACTGTATGCTGAAGAACCCAAAAAAAGATTTATAGACTAAGATGATAGCTCAGTGCTAGGCATTCACAAAATGGCAACTACAAATTACTTAGTGTTTTTTACTTATGTCACAAGTATCATTTTACCTGTGGAAAAATATGTATGTAAAAGGCTAGCAAAAAGCTTGTAATCCTACATGTTTTTTATTTTTATTTCATTCAAAATCATTAGGATAATTGGATTTATATGGGTTTTAGTAAATATAACCAAGTTAGATCTGATCCTCTGCATTGCAGCAGCTCTAGCCTAGGCAACTAGGATGGGCAATAAGATTGTCCATTGCTTTGCCCCTTAATTGCTGGTCTTTTGATACAAATAATTAAAATAGAAACATCTTCAGTTTAGCACAATGGGTGCAGTTTATAATGGTAATCATTATTGGCTGTTTTTCCACTATTGTTAAGAGGGGAATGATCGAAATACATAATAACTTTTTAAGCTGTAAGAAGTAATATATTTGATTTTCGTTATTGGTATTACGTTTTTTTTAGTTCCATGATGTTTGCAATTTAACATTATCAAAATAGTATTATTCTAATTATAATGATAGCAATACAGACCACCCTAATGTGAAATGTCCAACATTAAAAAGGATCTAATGTTTTTCAGGTAGTAGAATGGCCAGCCAACCGGCAGCCACTGAAGTAGAGATTGCTACATGTGTCTCTCAACATCTGAAATATGCACCAGACCGTAGGAAAAGATGTGGGAGGAAGCCCAAGAACAAACTGAACATCGTGTATTATATGGCAAAAAAATTTTTTATTGCACTTGTACTGTTTTATCTTGCAGTGAGTGATATGGGCCAAAATTATTTTGACATTATCACAACATTGGGATTTTTTGTTGTCACAATGTTATAATGATTTGATGTCAGATTATGTTACAACTTCCAGCTGACCAAATTCTGATATCAGGTTATAACTGGCACAATGTTGTGTGCCTGCTGGGATCTGCCTCTGACAAGAAGCAGCTTGAGTGGGTTGGATTCTCTTTCCTATTACCTACCCCAATATCTTATCTTCTTGGGTCTCTTTTACAATGCCCACCTCAGTTGGGCCCAACCTTTTCCACCTTGACTCTGTTGAATGGAGCTTTCAATTCTCCATGCCCTTGCTGCTCTCTCTCTCTCTTTCTGCTTGCAAGGTTCTATCACTTTTTGGGGACTTGGGCTTCTATGGAAGCACTAATCCCCTGTGGTTAGGCATATATATGGTCTCTTCAGTCGACTCTGCATGACCAATGGAATCTTGCTCGGGATCTCTTGGACTCTCTAATTACCCTTCCACCTTCCTTTTCAGATGATCTCCATTGGTGGTTGAACAAGGACAACATGAAGACAGGTATATCTCTTCCTCCACCTCATCCAAGTTTGCATTTATTCACAAATGCTTGTCTCCACAGTTGGGGGGCATGGGTCGATGAGCAGGAGCCATCCAGATTTATGGTCTCCAGCAGAGAGGTCTTATCATATAAACATCTTGGAACTTCTAGTGGTACAACATGCTTTGGATCACTTTCTTCTTATTGTACAGAATTGTCTAGTCATGATCCATTTGGACAATTCTACAGTAGTAGCTTATATCCCTCACCAAGGGGGCACCTGTTCCCTTTGTGGTCAAACCTTGTAACTCCTTTTTTTGGGGCCTACACACTGGGGATATGTCTTCTTGCATGTCATGTTTCAGGTGCTTTCAACCTCTTGGTGGATTGCCTTTCCAAACCAGAAAAAGTTTATCCCAGTGCCTTTGCTATCAGTGGGGTACTCATCACCTGTATGCATTTGCCACTTGCCTCAATTACCAAATTACCTCTTTTTGTGGTCTCCAGTTTCTCATTCTCAGATCCTAGCTGTGGATGCTCTCAGCTAGGATTGGACCAATTGATACCTTTATGTTTATCCTCCCATCTGACTTCTTCCCAGGGTGATTTCAATCATCCATGCCACTCCATGTCAGTTTTTTTTTTATTGCTCCTTACTGGTCAGCACAACCTTGTTTTCCTCATCTTCTTCAGCTCCACACTACCCTTCTGTTGGCTTTTCCTCTCATTGCATCCCTACTACATCAATCTCAGTCACTGTTCCTTTATCCCACCCTTCCTACCCTCCGTCTTCATGCCTAGCATTTATCAGGTCCCTGGCAAGGAGATACAGATTTTCTAGGCATGTCACTTCCTTTTTAGCATGGTATATTCACCCTTCCTCTATTGAGATTTATCAATGTAAATGGAACATCTTCTGCCATTGGTCTTTGAGTCGGGGTT